GCATGCGCCCTATAGCAAAAACCTCTCAAAACAAACAAAACACAGGGAAGTACTACAGGAGGCCAGCAGGTAGCATGGTGGTTAAGGCACTGGACTTCCACACAGCCAACATGGTTCAAGTCCCCAACCTGGCGACTTACTTTCTCACTTTCCCTTTCTCTCTCTCTCTCTCTGTCTCTCTCAGGCGAGCATGTGTGCCCGATATCAAATTAAAAAATAAAAATAAAAAATAAATTTATCATGCTGTGCTTTTTTTCATTTAAAATGACTTTAAAAACTGCAAGTAAGGGGGCCAACATGTGACAGAGTGGTTAAGGTGCTGCTCTCACATGTGCAATGACAGCTTGAGTCCTGGACCTGGTGGCTTGAAAATCACACCAGGCACGTGTGACTTTCATGGAGGAGAAGGGATTGTGGTAAGGCCATCCCCCTCAGGGGGTGATTTCTCACTTTTCCCTCTCACTGGGTCTCTGTCTCTCTCTGGTGACATATCCTGTGGCAAAAAACTAAATACAAGAACAAAAAACTGCAAGTAGGAAATTTGTAAACTGTTCAGGTTATTTTTAATTCACATGTGATCTCTAATAAATGTGACTGTCAAAATCCTAGTCCAAGCTACCACCAGCCTTTTGCTGGATGATAGTATTAGCCTCCTATCTTGGCCTCTTTGTTTCCTGGCAATCTATTCTCCATATAGCATCTCTCCTTACTTTGATCACTTCTTAGAAACATAAACCAGATCATAGTATCCCCTTAATAGAAATTCTTGAATGATGTTTCACTGCCCTTAGAACAAAATTCGAAAGCCCGTGAGGCAATGGGTACTCTTTTTGCCTATTTCATCTCTTCTGTGTCTCCACCTCATCCAACTCTACCCACTCCCCCAAACCATGGTCCAGCCAGACTAGCTGGCTTCCAGCTCTTCTGCACACCGAAGCTGCATCCAGAACTCGGGCTCTTCGTCTGGAAAGCTCGACCCTAGCTCCTCCTCCTCCTTCGGTCTCCACCTAACTCTCCATTTCCCGAAGCCTTTCTCAATCACCCTACCTGAGTAGGTCCCCTTGGGCATCTTCTCACCTGACCCTTTCTATTACTTTACTACTGTGTACTTGTTTCTTATTTGCTAATCCCTTTTTGGACTATCCGCCTCCTAGGGCAAGTCATGTGTTTGGAGCCCTGCACAGGTTAATCGTCCAATAATTACGGGCACATCGTGAATAAGAGTGATGAATGAATAAAAGAAAGTTCAGGCAGCACGCACTTGCCAAGCACTTGAAACTTACTTTTTGTTAGAGAACGCTGGTTCTTTAAGCAGGAGACCCCGCAATTCCCCAGCCCGGCGCCATCCCGGCAATGTCGGGAGGACGTCCCGTGGCCACCCGAGCTCACATTTCTCCCACCCGAGCCCCCAGAGCCCCGCGGTTCTCGCCCTCGGACTTCTCCGAACTCTCGAACAGACAAGCGAGGAGGCCCCTTTCCGCTGTCCAAAGGCCACCCGACCCCAGTGACCGGCGTTTCTTACCTGGAGCCTGCACCTCTTCCCGGTCTACAGCTAAACCCGCCAAAATTCCAACTTGACTCCGCCCCTGAGTCTGACGTCAGACGCGCGCGTCTGCAGGACCGCACTGATTGGCTATGTCAGAACTCTGGGCGGCGACGACCTTGGGAAGAGAGGGAAGCGCGGCCCCCACGCAGGGCAATCTCATTGGCTTACGTCTTCAGCTACCTCTTTTTTGGGGGCAAGGGAACTTCCGGTCGGTGAAGCCTCTGGCACCTTTAGGTGAAAGTAGTTGTCTGGCGCCCCCTAGCGTCGGGAGGTTGTACAATATTGCCCTCCACCAGCACCACCGTTTTGAACTCCATTGCTGGCCGACTGTGCCATCGCATCTTCCAGAGCGTCCTGTATTCTTCTTTGAGGTGGAGAGAAACAACGCAGAAAACCCTGGACGTTTGCACTGAACCCGCGGACATTCCACACGCTACTGCTGTCTCACCGATTTCCTGTGACCCAAGTGATCGCATACAAGTCCGAACAAGCTGGTTTATGATTTCGCGTCGTTTTGCCAACCTTGTGCCCAAATTGAGATGTTTGGACTAAAAAACAAACAAATTCAGGGCACTTTTACTCTGGCCTTGAGGAAGTAAGTTATCGCGTCACTCTCTGTAAATGGGGCTAAAGCTAGATGACATTCTTAGACACAGAAACCACCGTTTACAGAGTAATTTGTGACCCATAGGGTTTGAAAATTTTAACTGGGTCAAAGCTGAGAATAACTTATCAGGATACCATATTTTTCACAGAATATTTTTCAGTAAAATTCAGGCCTCTTTATGTACAAAGTGACTTCAAAAAGTTTGTGGAAAATGCAATTAACGTATGAGTTTATTTTGACACAAAGAAAGTTTGAAATCCATGCAGAATGCTTTTCTTTTTGGGGGGAGGGTGGAGAGGTTTTTGCTATAGGGCATGTGCACTCGCCAGAAAGAGAGACAGAAAACAAGAAATCATCCTCCCAGGGGAGATGGCCATGCCGCAATCTCTTCTCCTCCATTCTCTTGGTATCTTGGGCACACATGCATATGCGCCCGGGGTGAGTTTAAGCCACTGGGTCAAGGACTCGAACCACTGTTAACTACATGGGAGTCCAGCGACATAGTCATTACGCCAACTACTGGTCCCCATGCATAGTGTTTTTCATAATGTACATTTCCATGGGCTTTTTGAAGACCCCAGTATTTACATTCTAAGTATTTGTACATACTAAGAACAGTGTTATATGGGGCCGGCAAGTGGCGTGGTGGTTAAGGGCCCTGGATTCCCACATGGTGGACCGTGGTTCAAGTCCTGGACCTGGTGGCTTGCTTTCTCTTTCTTCTCTCTCTCTTTCTCTCACTGTCTGGTCAAATTAAAACAAACAAATAAATGAATAATAAAATAATTATATAAAAAAGAACAGTGTTATAATAATAGGAACAGTGTTCCTAAAACGCAATATAATATTGAGCTTTTACATAATCTCAGAAGAGTTTATGATGGACTAAGTGACCATTTAAAATCACTTTTTCCTCCTTAAAGACATTATTCAGGTAACAGCCAAAGCTGTAGGTCCTGGGACCCTGGGGTTTCTTTGTCCCAAACAGCCTTGAGCCTGCTTCAAAGCCTGACTGGATCTGTTCTTCTGGTTGTCCTCCTAAGGTACGATCCCTGGGTCCAAGGAATAGCCAAGGACCACTATTTAGTTGTGGGTGGGGTGAGTGGGTTAAGGGGGTTTGGATAGCAAGCTGGGGCATTGCCCCCCACCCCTTGGAAGAGAGACCACAAAGTACAGCATAGAGTTGAGCCCAAGAAGAGAAGCGGGGTTAATAGGGCTAGGCCCCAATTATCTTTAAGCTGCTGTGTTCCAGTGTGAAATGCCAAGGAGATGGTTACTTTTACCTATAAACTAAAATTTCACACCTGTGGGTCTCCATTGGTATCCTTGCCCTGGGTTTTTCCCGTGTGAGAGGTGGGCCTTCAAGATAATGATGTCACAGGATGTGGCAAATGTCAGCGCCATGGAGCAGTAGTTCTCAAAATCAGGTCCCTGGACCAGCAGCATCACCTGGGAACTTGTGAGAAATCACGTGTTTGGGTCACATTTGTTACTAAATCAGAAACTCTGGGGGTGGAACCCTGCATTCTGTGTTCAGCCTTTGTAACTATTCCATCTCTCTACATGAGTGGTTCTAAAACTTTTTACAAATGTATTTCTCCCACAGACAATAGAGGCACAGAGAGAGACAGAACCCCCCCGACAGAATCCGTGTGCCATGATCTAGCCCATGCTTCAGCCAGCCCCAGATCATGGGCACATGCCTGGCGTGTTCAAGATCTCTGGATGTGAACTCAGACCCTTCCCATGTGGGTCAGCTTTGCCGAGTATTGCATTCTGCTGTGCCAGCATCCAGAACCCTGGTTCTAAAACTTTAGAGTATATCAAGACCAATGGAAGGGTCTTTTAGACACACCAGAAAACAACAGGGGGAAAAGGGAGGAGAGAGGGGAAGGTTAGTCCATCTCGAGTCTTCCTTCCCAGAGGTGCTACTGGCCCATGTAGCCAGGTATCCCTCTGGACCGCTCCTGTCGGAGTCCCTTCTCAGTATCCCATCTCCCAAGTGTATAGACTCTCTCTTCTCTAGATCACATCCTCTCCTCTGTGTCCTCACTACTGGAACACTCTTTATGCTCTCATCATCTTTCTCTTTATCTCTAACTGGTCCATTTCCATCTTACCCACCTCCAAGTCATGTCTTTTGTTCCCTCCATTCACAACTAGTTCTTGACTTTTCCCTGTGACTGATTCATCAATAGCTCTTCAGGTCCTATCAATTCCAAACTTCTCACCATTCAATCTCTCTAGTTATAGACCCAAATCCTGTTTACTTTTCCACTAACCTCAACCTTCATCTCTCCCCACTGAGTCAGTCCTTCTTCCAGCCATATTCAACAATTACCTTTTCCTCAGGTATTTGAGGCTCTGGCATGCCTTGTTACATTTATACATGCCAGTACCTCTTCTTGGAATATCTTCAACTATCAGGGTTAATTCCAACTAGCTGGTTAGCTCCTACACATCCAACTAAGCTCTGTCCAGGCAACCCCCCAGGGCCCTTTGTGAAGCTCTACTGGACCTTCTTGGGCGAAACATTCCTCCCCGGTGTTTCCTAGATCTCTAGATTGTTCTCCCACAGAGAACTTGCAACAATGCACTCTATTCATCTGTGTGTTCTTTCCATATAATGTGAGCATTTGGAGAGAAGGGAACTGTGTCTTGTTTTTCTCTGTCTTCCTTCTTGACACCAATGATTGACACACAGTAAATGTGGCTTGAAAAACATGCTGGGGGCATGCATGTGCATGCTCAAAGTCCCAACTGGATGGAAGGGATTGCAGCATGAAGCATGACCACAGGGCATGGGAGGATGCCTTCTCCTTCTCTCTCTGTCTCTGCCTGTCTTTTTCTGAAACACATCTTGTAATTAAAAAAAAAAACATATAAGTAACTTAAAAAAGAACAGTGTTATAATAATAGGAACAGTGTTCCTAAAACGCAATATAATATTGAGCTTTTACATAATCTCAGAAGAGTTTATGATGGACTAAGTGACCATTTAAAATCACTTTTTCCTCCTTAAAGACATTATTCAGGTAACAGCCAAAGCTGTAGGTCCTGGGACCCTGGGGTTTCTTTGTCCCAAACAGCCTTGAGCCTGCTTCAAAGCCTGACTGGATCTGTTCTTCTGGTTGTCCTCCTAAGGTACGATCCCTGGGTCCAAGGAATAGCCAAGGACCACTATTTAGTTGTGGGTGGGGTGAGTGGGTTAAGGGGGTTTGGATAGCAAGCTGGGGCATTGCCCCCCACCCCTTGGAAGAGAGACCACAAAGTACAGCATAGAGTTGAGCCCAAGAAGAGAAGCGGGGTTAATAGGGCTAGGCCCCAATTATCTTTAAGCTGCTGTGTTCCAGTGTGAAATGCCAAGGAGATGGTTACTTTTACCTATAAACTAAAATTTCACACCTGTGGGTCTCCATTGGTATCCTTGCCCTGGGTGTTTCCCGTGTGAGAGGTGGGCCTTCAAGATAATGATGTCACAGGATGTGGCAAACGTCAGCGCCATGGAGCAGTGGTTCTCAAAATCAGGTCCCTGGACCAGCTGCATCACCTGGGAACTTGTGAGAAATCACGTGTTTGGGTCACATTTGTTACTAAATCAGAAACTCTGGGGGTGGAACCCTGCATTCTGTGTTCAGCCTTTGTAACTATTCCATCTCTCTACATGAGTGGTTCTAAAACTTTTTACAAATGTATTTCTCCCACAGACAATAGAGGCACAGAGAGAGACAGAACCCCCCCGACAGAATCCGTGTGCCATGATCTAGCCCATGCTTCAGCCAGCCCCAGATCATGGGCACATGCCTGGCGTGTTCAAGATCTCTGGATGTGAACTCAGACCCTTCCCATGTGGGTCAGCTTTGCCGAGTATTGCATTCTGCTGTGCCAGCATCCAGAATCCTGGTTCTAAAACTTTAGAGTATATCAAGACCAATGGAAGGGTCTTTTAGACACACCAGAAAACAACAGGGGGAAAAGGGAGGAGAGAGGGGAAGGTTAGTCCATCTCGAGTCTTCCTTCCCAGAGGTGCTACTGGCCCATGTAGCCAGGTATCCCTCTGGACCGCTCCTGTCGGAGTCCCTTCTCAGTATCCCATCTCCCAAGTGTATAGACTCTCTCTTCTCTAGATCACATCCTCTCCTCTGTGTCCTCACTACTGGAACACTCTTTATGCTCTCATCATCTTTCTCTTTATCTCTAACTGGTCCATTTCCATCTTACCCACCTCCAAGTCATGTCTTTTGTTCCCTCCATTCACAACTAGTTCTTGACTTTTCCCTGTGACTGATTCATCAATAGCTCTTCAGGTCCTATCAATTCCAAACTTCTCACCATTCAATCTCTCTAGTTATAGACCCAAATCCTGTTTACTTTTCCACTAACCTCAACCTTCATCTCTCCCCACTGAGTCAGTCCTTCTTCCAGCCATATTCAACAATTACCTTTTCCTCAGGTATTTGAGGCTCTGGCATGCCTTGTTACATTTATACATGCCAGTACCTCTTCTTGGAATATCTTCAACTATCAGGGTTAATTCCAACTAGCTGGTTAGCTCCTACACATCCAACTAAGCTCTGTCCAGGCAACCCCCCAGGGCCCTTTGTGAAGCTCTACTGGACCTTCTTGGGCGAAACATTCCTCCCCGGTGTTTCCTAGATCTCTAGATTGTTCTCCCACAGAGAACTTGCAACAATGCACTCTATTCATCTGTGTGTTCTTTCCATATAATGTGAGCATTTGGAGAGAAGGGAACTGTGTCTTGTTTTTCTCTGTCTTCCTTCTTGACACCAATGATTGACACACAGTAAATGTGGCTTGAAAAACATGCTGGGGGCATGCATGTGCATGCTCAAAGTCCCAACTGGATGGAAGGGATTGCAGCATGAAGCATGACCACAGGGCATGGGAGGATGCCTTCTCCTTCTCTCTCTGTCTCTGCCTGTCTTTTTCTGAAACACATCTTGTAATTAAAAAAAAAAACATATAAGTAACTTCAGGTGATTACAAATGAGCATCCATTTTGCTGGAGAGAAGGGAACATATAGAAGAGGTACAAATATTAAAGGAAGTAGGTAGAAACTAATTGGATGGAGGCTGAGGAACATCAAGTCAAGAACTTTGTTTTGGAAACAGTAGAGACCGTGTTTG